AATGGGGGTAATGAGAGGGTATGTCAAGTTACCCCAAACTAAGAAGGATAGCTTAACAGAATAGTTATTATCACTTGCAGATAAATCACTCACAATTATCATTCATGTAATAACAGTTATTATCTCTAAAATTTGAAACAATTTCCTTCCCATTTATGCTGGCCGGGTTTTATGTTGCAAACGTTGGGGAGAATTGATTAACGGCATGTAGTGAGAGAGCTGGGGGAAACAAGAGAAAATAAAGAATGCTGTGTGATATTTTGCATGATGAGTAGGAAAACAGTATACATTAACATACAAACAAAGAAGGTGGAAGAAGTGTGAACTGCATGACAAAATGTCACTGTAACTGGATAACACTGAGTAATTACATCCTTTGGGCATAAGAGGAAATTGAGCAATTTCAGAGTATCCTCCATCTATCTAACCTGAATGTGTCAAAATCCTTTGTACAATGTGACATGAAATATCAGGCATCCTTATTCAATGAGATGTAAATAATANAGGGGGGGGGGGTGCAGATATTAAATGGAATGGCCCATTTGGGAGATGTTCGCGGCATTTTGCGGGAGCTGATGGTGTGATTTCTACCCTCGTTTTATCACGATAAGTGCACAATTTTGTGGCTCAGCTGTTTCCCTTTATATCTTAATGTTTTCTTGTTAATTTGTTTTTGTAGTGCATATGTCATCCATTTGTTTGGCCGATGTTCAAGATTTTTGGATGCTGCTTTGGATACTAGTCCATTAAACTGCAATATCATCTCATTCAGTTTACAGTGAATTTTCATCATCATGGTCACTGCCTGTCTTGAATAATTTGTTATCTCAAACAGAAATTTACTACTCTTGGATGTTGTCATTCAGCCATCTATGGCTGATCAATTTTGATCTCTCACTTCTTTGTACTTGCTTTTCTTTCAATTTTGGAAGTAGTGGGAGACTATACCTAGGAGGTGGCTCAAAACAGTTTCCAGCACTTACATTTTGATGGGTGGTTATTACCACTCTTTATCAGTTGAGGCATAGTATCAAAAAACTGCCCAATCATTGGTGATCACTTTGTTATCATTTTCGTAATTAAGGGTGTTTTGAGGTCATGCTGTTGCTATGGTAACCTATTGTGTCACGAAAATGATAACAACATGTTCATCAATGATTGGACAGTTTTTTGATACCATGATTGAAACATCAAGTGATTAAGAGTGGTTATAACGACCCATCAAAATCTAAGTGCTGGAAACTGTTTTGAGTCACCTTAAATCAATAAATAATAAGTGTTTTATATGTATAATTTACACATAACGGTCAATCCACCTGGAGACATCTTCAGCTAGAGGACAAAGGGATAAATTATACCAAAACCAGCCAATATATATATGAATATGCCAAATTACCACAAGACTAAAAAAAAATTGGGCTGGAGTCAACTTTGCTATATTTCCCAAGAACTAAATTTATCCACCTACCCTGTAGTTATCAAAAAAAGAACGCTACAGCGTGCTGCTGTTTACGCCATCAAATTTAGAATGGAATAGACTAAAACAGAATACTTAAGGGCATAATGCAACTGACTGCTGCATGGCAATCCCAAGTTTTAAGAGCTACTGCAATTGTTCAATATAGTGCATCTGCTTTTATTTCAAACTGTTGTTACAATTAAGCTATCTCAGTCAAAACATCCTGGTATAAATGATCTGGAATGCAGCTTTAAACCCTCCTTGATTATTCTTAATTCAGTTGGTTAATGTCATTACGAGTCGACATGAGGAAGTGCTGTGGAGACTGTTTTTGGCTAAATACAATGTAGAAAATGTTAAAATCATTACATGATCAATATGTTGTTGCCCACAAGACTTGCAGTGAATAAAAATTTTAAACAGAGGTACTTCAAATGACCTGCATAGCACTGTTCTGGCTGAAAAATCCCTTTTACACAAGTTACATTGAGCCTTAAACTTCAGCAGAGGTGTAATATGAGCACATGCAATAAAACAATGAGCTTTTCATCCATTGCTAATTCACTGCAGGGGTCGATCCAGAGTAGTTGAAGTGATTTCAAGACATCACTCAAATGTTTCCAAACCTCTCAGAATACAGGGAAATTGCATTCTGAGAGCACTAAATTTCAAAGTTTCTTCGGGGAGCATGCCCCCAAGCCCCCCTAGTTAAGTTGGTCCAAATCACTCAGGCAAAATCCTAAGATCTACCCCTGACTGTGCCTATCATAGACAATTTTCCAGTTTAAAAACATATAAATCAAAACCAAAAGTAATTTACAAGTAAATTTAATGTTGGCTGCTGGCTCCAGAATATGGTTTTTGTGCTGTTGTGCCGGGATTTTTTTTGTGCTTGTCAGTACTTTGCAATTCAGGTTAAAAAATTCAATTATTAGTTTCAAGTAGATGTAAGTCAGTTTTTTTTCACATCTCCTATCTGCAATTTAAGTTGCAACCACTGAAAACAGTATGAGGTGTATTTTTTGTCCAAAACATTCATTTCATGTAACCCAACCAGGCCTTCTTTCCATTGACCCTGATTTCCCTTTTGCACGGCCTCGCATTTACTGAGAACCCAGGAATGGACACTCAGAGCAAATACAAGTTACATCCAAGCACTAGGTGAAGAGAAATCTTTAACTCTCATCAGTTTGAACATTGATATCTCCAGCGGCAATGTCTGGGGCGAACTCATTGGTAGGCCTTTTACTTTAAACACATTCAAGGAAGTTGAGCAAGACCAAAATCGTGCTTATCACATTGTCTACAAAATAGATACATACAGTACCTTAATCTTGGATTTGTAATTTGAACAAGAATTTGCTGAAAGTGTGATGTGGTACAGGAGACCTATCCAATTATTTTCTGCCACTTACACTGATTGCCCTCAACTTAGGGGTTGTTGATGCACACCATACCAGATTATAATTTGCCATTATATATTTTTTTATTCCATTTATGGCAATTTATTTTTGTTATTTTGAAAGAGCCCTAACTTATTAGCAAGCCGACCTGACAGCTGTTGATGACTCCTTTCGATTATAAAAAAATACAGGGAGCAAATTTACACAAGTTTTTTCCAAGGACAAAACACTGCTTTGTTTTTGAATTATTCAACCCTGTTCTTTGTTGCTTTTACTTCTCAGCTCTCTTGTTGTTGCGTCGAACAAGAAAATATCTGTCAACAACCATTTTGTTGGCCAGCAATACACCAGTATACTTCACACATAAGTTGAGGTATCTAAGAAAGAAAGAGCCGAAGTTAAGGTTAATTCTGGTAAGTTCAGATCGAATTCTACGATGTCAGAAACAGAAATAATTTTTTGTTCAACTGTAGAGATTCAACTTACTGCGAAGCTTCGATTCCTAAAATCAGTTATTCAGCACTGGAAATGGCGGCTTGTGAATCGAGTAGAAGACATCTACAGCTGTCAGTTGGTCTGCAAAAGTCTTAATATAGATGTTATTTGAGATGTCCTTCAGCGTTGGAAGCGAACTTTGTGTATTTTGAGGACCTTGAGAATATTCAAACTCAAAACAGAAGGCCAAACAACATAAATGGATTAAAGTTACAAAACTCAAATCAAAATTCTCACTTATCCTGGGTTAGCTTAATTGGGCTTTGAACAACCTGGCCCAGGAGCTCCACTTTTAGGCCTGGCTAAATCTATATATTACTGTTTCAACTAGGTTGACAAATCTAACTCTTTTGGGAGATAAAAAATAAATTAGCTTAATTTGTACAATGTACTTTCTAACTAGAAAATATATGTTTTATTAAAAAGTCCACACATTTAGCATCATTTATTTTCTGCTCAGAACTAATCAATGTGTTTTTCCAGAACATATTTGTACCTTCCACATGGAAGGCTCTTTGGATTAACCACCCTCCATACCCTTATGGAAATTATTCCAGTTAAGCCCCATACTTTCCTTGACATTTTTTGGCTTTTGAGATCCCCCACTCCCTCTGAATTTCCATTGACCTTCCATGGGGCGGGTATGGATATTTTCTGAACTGTACAATACAAACTGAAGAGGTGTAATTTTTAATCTCTTTTTAAATGCTAAGTTATTATGGAAGGGCATATTTCTTTTTATAATAATAAACTGATCCACCTGAATAATGATTATCATTTAGCTGGATAAATTTTCAGTCCTCTTTCTGCATTTATTAGCATATTAGTACAGCTGCCATTAATCAAATTACATTAAATGAGGTGGTATCTTCCTACAAAATATGACCATGTAACGAAGGATTTTGTAGTCACATTTGAAGTCACCAACCATTCCCTGGGGTGGGTGGGTGTGCTTTTTGGTCATTAGTGAATAAACTCTTTTTGCAATTTTAGCAATGATGTTCCAAAGAATGAGGCCTGCACAGTTTTTGGCATGAAGCCAACTGTCTTCCATTCATTATTTTTCAAATCAAAACATTCCACAGCACCTTTGCGCGTATTCTCATCTTCTCCTCCAAACAAGTACACAATGCCATCTATACTTACAACACCATGCGCAGCACGAGGGTTAAGTGGACTAGACACCAGGCTCCATTGTTTTGTACTAGGTTCAAACATTTCACAAGAAGGTTCTATGGTTGTAACTGTCATGTCACCAAATCCACCAACAATAACAATTTTCTCAAAAACTGTTGCAGCAGCAGCAAACCTTCGGACTTTAGACATACTTGAAATCTTCGTCCATTGATCAGTTAATGGATTGTAGCACTCTGCACTGTTTAGACAGATGTTGCCATCGTGACCAGCAAATACATAAATAAGTTCTTGCAGCAAAACTGAACAATGGGCAGCACGGCAGGCTTCCATCGATGCCCCTTGTCTCCATGTATCAAGAACTGGATTGTATATCTGAACATCTTGCCAAGAACCCTCTCCACCAATTACATACAGCTCTTCATGAAAACACGTGACTGAACAGTCTATAGCTATTAATGTTCTACCCAGCGAGCTCCATTTGTTTCGTTTTGGGTTAAAACAACACATTCGCCCTGAGTTGTTCCCTCCCAATGTATACAGCAGTCCACCACACACTGCAACACCATGGTGACTGTGAGGATATGGCATCATGGGTAGGGATACCCATGATAAGGTGGAGGGAACAAAACACTGGGTGTCCCTCTTGTTACCAGATTTACATGCCCCACCAGTGAGTATCACCACATGTTCGCATTTGTCCAAAGACAAACGAGGTTTAAGTGACATGTTTTGGAAACGGTCTGGGAACAGAAAGAAATCCAGTGCATTGACGACAATCCTTGTGCAGGCGTTGTTCTTATTGACCAGCTCTTCATCGAGAATATTTCGTAGACTGTACTTCGACATTGAAAACAGCCTCACACAGTTCAATAGCTCGGGAAGTAAACATTCCCTCGCTGGCAGTTGATGTCTCACCCAAGCAATCACTGCCTGGTATACTTCCTCTTCATCTGACACGTTTATCTCGTCCTTGCAAATCAGTTCTTTGATGTTCTCTATATCAAGCGTTTTGAAGTCCTCGGATTTCGCGACAGCTACAAAATTTTCAAATTTAAAGGCGACTGCAGCATGCTTTAGTGATTCGCAGTTATACCGAGAAGCGAAGGATTCTAAAGCCAAGCAATTCGAAGCATTCAGCGAACTCTCCAGGAAATTTGACGCTTTCGATTTCAAACTTGCTATGATCAAGAAGTC